GGCATCTAAAGTCCTGCATGAATCAGAAGCTCACTATCTGAAATGGCATAAACCAGGAGCTTGGTATCAAAAATTTGGGCCTTGGTAACCGAAAGCCTGCATGCATCAGGATCCTGGGATCTGAAATTTGGATCTTGGTAACCAAATCCTTGCACTCATTGTCATGTTCTACGGGTTTTGAAATCATCAGATGAGCTTCTCTTTTGAACATCCCTGAAATCTGAGGGGTGGACAGTGCATTCATGTGCCTGTAACTTTTTCAGAGATGGACTAAGGGTATCTGCCAAAGGGAGGTCATAGGAGTCAAGATGGTGGCAATAACCACATGATCAAATATTGCAGGTAAAAAAGGGTCAGGGCTTTGATTGTATAGTCATGCCCACCTTATTTATTTATTTATTTATTTATTTATTTATTTATTTATATTTCAAATTTGTCACCACCCATCTCACTGTTGACCTTTTTGACCCCTTCCATGGATGCTCCTGGGTCAAAGGTTATGAAGGTTCTTGGATGGCCTTATGTTTTAAGTGATTTAAATTAATTGATTTTTCTTAAGGAATTTGGACATGATCAAAACAGGACAACCTTAGCTAATCTGTAAAGTTGTGGAAAGTCAAATGCGACTGAACAGATGAAGAGAAACGCTTCTATCAGCCAGTCTTAAAAGTAAAAAGAAAAGGAGGATGGAATTGACTGTCTCACTAGCATTAACAGGACAATCCAAACTATTGGATTTTCGATTTGAAAAATAAGTACCTTGGTCAGTTCTGTAACTTCCTTCCTTTTCTACACCTGGATCCATCATGGTTGGATCTAACAAATTGGTTGTAACAAAATTTTGATGTGTTTTACTCTGCAGAAACATTCATGTTTGCTTTAGAGCGAATTGGAAGGCCTTTTTCACCCCATGGACCTAGACTGGGAAAATTTCTTCTTCCTAGCATATCATACTTCTATAGATATTAAAAGTAACCAAAAGGATAAGCCAGAATTATGTGATATACTGCTGGATTTCCCTGCTTAAGTCCTCCTGCAAGCAAAGGCATTTAAACAAAGCAAAAAACCTCATCATCCTTGCTACTCACTAACCCCATTTTTTTTTCCAGTTCTCAGAGCATCCTTACTGCAGGTCTGAAAAGGGTTTTTTAACAACAACCAAAAAAAGGTAAAAAAAAAATAAATCTTAAAATACTGCAAAACGGCAGGTGAAAGCGTTATATACCCTGCCCTCAGCTGTACAAAATAAAGGCAGGATATAAATCTAATAAATCAATAAATAAAATATGAAATAAATAACATCCAGGAATTGGAAGCCAAGAATCAAGAACAATTAAACAGGATACTTGTTCAATCCAAGGGTCACCATTCTAAAAAAGATTCTGAAAAAGAATTTGGTCGTCTTATTAACACAGGATCCAGGCCTGAAGGCTGTTATGCAAGAAACAGAAAATCCTGACCTAATAAGGAAACATCTTTATTTTTCTCCGGCTTGATCTCCTTACAGGGTGGTCTCTCTTTGGTCCCTAGTGAAGGCTGCCCGGCTCCAGAGACATCTCCAGCCTGTTCATGAACTGGACTGGGGACCTAAAGCAACAAAAAAATATATTAATAGAAGGTTAGAATTTTAGAGCTGACTGACTTCTTTGATTAGAGAAAGGTCATTACTGACATTCATCAATGACTGGAAACCCCTTATGGACTTTTTGCATAAAAAAGAAAATGATTTGGTGACTTATGGTTTGGATGATTAGAAAGAATATGTTAGAAAAAAAAGGAAATTATGATGAAATCTTAGAGAGAGATGTTTTCTGTTCCTTTATTTTCTTCTTCTTTCCTCCTTTTTTAATCTTCGTTTTCTTTTCACGTTTACTATGTTTTTCTTTTCTTTGAATGCATTTCTTATTATCTATGTACAATCTTTTAATAAAAACTTTTTTTTTTAAAAGGAAGTTTCTCCTGATATCTAACCTAAACTTCTTGTTTCTAATTTTAACCCACTCCTTCATTTGGAGCAAATGAGTCCACGCCTAACCCTTCAGATATATCTGAAGGCTGTGATCATATCTCCTCTCAATCTTCTCTTCTCCACGTTAAACATATCCAGATCCTTTAACTGCTTCTCACAGGGTTTCCAGACCTCTCACCACCTCCTCTGAACTTGCTCGAGTTTGTCACTATCATTTTTGGGATGGTGGTTCCTAGAACTGGATACAGTACTCCAAGGGGCACCTGACCAGGACAGAAGGAAGTAGAGCAAACATTCCCATGATCTGGACTCTAGGTTCCTGTTAATGCACCCCAAAAGGTTGCAGGATGTGGCCCTTGATCTTTGACCTTTTTAGATCTGAAATGTCAATTCATTTGAGCAAGGTTTTTCAGCATTGCACCTGAAAGGGGACTGTTTATGATGGCTGTTCCTAAGCTTGACGTGTGGACTTCAACTCCCAGAATTCTCAGCAAGGGCCATGTTGGCTAGGGAAATCTGGAAGTTGAAGCTCACACAGCTGGTAGGTATGCTGAATGGGGAAATGGTTGAGTTTGGCCCAAACCCCTTTGCGCAAATGGAAGGGATGGGCACAAGAATGATCAGAAGAAGAAGAGAAAGAGCAGAGGGGCAAGAGAGAGTTGAAAACAAGGAAAATATAGCTGAGAGAATTTGGCAGAATTCCTTTTCCACTTTGGTTTTAAATTCACCCATCACATGTTCTGCTTCATAATCTCTTTCTCATCCCCTTAAGAATGGAGCCCTCCACTTAAGACAAATCCTAGCCCTGGTTTAATTGGGCACGGAGGGACTGCATCTCCAACAGGCAAATCAGGTGAGATTTTGGACATGGACATAGCACATGACCCAGACGTAGTCTTTGAATTAAAGGAATAGTTTAGCTGTGTCCATTCTAGCCAAGAGAGAGTCAAAGTGTTCTTTCGAATTCTTATTTTCCCAGCCCTTATGTTTGCTCTGTACAATCTTTTTAGCAGTTTGCCTTTTCAAGTCTGCAGGAAACCTGGCAAGCATTTCTCCTATTCCATGCATTTTTGTATGACGTTTGCTCAAATACAACCGGACACATTGCAAGCAATTTCTCCTAACATTACACCCTTTTGTGCATTACACCGGTAAATCCCCACTTCTTTTACGCCTTATCTCTGAGTTTGTTGATTTGTTTAATGACGGACAGGCTGAGCTGAAAAATTCAGAACGATAGAAATATCCACCTCTGTTTGCATTGCATGTGAGTTAGGCAAGTGGGCACTGAAATACAAATTGCTTTGATTTCTCTACCTCTTTCCCATCTTCTCTGACCGGCAACAGCTCACGGGCATTCGCATTACAGCCACTGAAGTCAGTGGACAAAATTTGATTCCCAGAAAATGTTTCAGAAATCTGCGCACAGGGGGCAAAAAATAAAATTGTGCTTCCATGATTCCTTGCTGGCAAAAACAACCCAGCCCTGGTCTGCTCTCTGCTAGTTACTGCCTGAGAGCAGGCCAGGCCTGTTCTTTGCCAGCAAGGAGTCATGGAAGCACAACCTTTTCCTTTTTAATCCCCAGCAGAAAACAAGTCAATGGGGTGGGCTGGCCTGTTTTTTGCCTGCAAGCGAAGAACAAGATGTTTGGATAAGGGCAGTGACATCACTAAGGAAGCCCCTCCCTGCAGTGATATTGTTACGTGGGCATGAAAAGCAAGGGCTTGTGCAGTGATGTCATTGAAGTATGGGGTTTACCATAATTGTCCTGTGGGACCCTGGAGGAATTGAACCTGGAACTATTCCACAGGCCAAACGCAACATCTATCCATTCAAAAACAGGCTGCTTAAGATAAGGATGCATTCAATATTCTCACCTGCCCTTCCGGTCGCTCTGCCTCCTCCTGCCTCATCAAGAAATCCTCTGCCAGAGCTACTGCCAGCGAGCACGTCTCTGCTCCATACCCCCTGATTCTTCTCTGGATCTCCAGAGGCAAGATCTCCAGGAACTGCTCCAGGATCACCAGCTCCAGGATCTGGTCTTTGGTGCGTCTTTCCGGTTGCAGCCATCCCCAGCAGAATTTCCTGAGCCGTTTGCAAGCTGTTCTGGGACCTTCAGACGGCTGGTAGCAGAACCCCCTGAAATGTTGGCGATGGGCTTCCTCGTCCAGCGTCACATGACTGGGATTGCCCCCGGGATCAGTTTTTAGATCTCCGCATTTCAGGCTGCTGGAACTCGTTTGTTCATCCTGCTTGAAGGCTGGTGGGACCGTGGCTCTCGTTCTCCCACTGGGATCCTGGTGGCTCTCTGAGACAGGGAAGGAGTCCTTGGCCCCCAGCTGCTGGGTGTTTCCCCACATGGAGCAAGAGGACTCTGCTACCTTCAGGAAATCCTGCCACTGGGCTTCCCAGGATGCCAACTGTCCTTCTGGCTCCAGTTTAATCTGTGGTGGCATCGCTTGGTGCAAACTCTCTCCCACGATCCCAGCCACAACCAGTGGGAGGTTCCCCTCAGATTCAGCAGTGGGGCTGGCTGGGACTTCCTTTTCGGTTTTCATCCTTGGGGTGTCCCTGGGCAGCAAAAGAAGAAATTAGCATGCTGGCTGGGGGATTCTGGGAGTTGAAGTCCACAAGTCTTAAAGTTGCCAGGGTTGAGAAGCACTGTCCTCAGGCAACAGCTGAGTCTGGAACACCAACCGAGGCAGATATGAAAGTTTCCTTCCACTCTGCTCTTCTGCTGGGGATCCCACTGAGATCCCACACTAGGGTTCCTGTGTCTGGCCTGCAAAAATCCAGACTAGAGCTACGTAGGGCAGCAAAAAGATCCAGATTTTCCCTGCCATTAGTGGTCTTCTGGATGCTTGCAGCCCAGGAAGGCTGGTCCTACCACGGTGATCCAGTTTATTAAAGAAGTGAAGCGTGGAGAGATCCGCAAGGAGGAGGGCAGAGGCCTTGCCTGGAGGCCCCAGGAGGCTGCCTCTCCTACCTTCACTGTATTGCAGTGTTTCTCAACCTCTGCAACTTTAAGATGGGCGGACTTAACAACTCCCAGAATTCCCCATGCTGGCTGGGGAAATCCTGGATGGGGAAGTCCACCCATCTTAAAGTGGCCGAGGTTGAGAAACGCTGCAATATTGACTCCATTGCTGATAACAGATACAATAGATGATGGTGTTGAAGTCCAACCCAATCTGCAGACGGGGTTGCCTTGTTTTAAGTCTGTTTATGGTGCTAAGTCACAGATGTTTTTGGTAGATGATGATGATGATATTCAGTCTGTATGCCCAAGTTTTTGGATCCAAAGTACTGCACATCCATAGTTATAATTGATGGAAACTGATTTGGGATACAGAAAGACTAAATCTATCCTCCGGTAAACTTATTAAAGTTTCAGCATGCTTTTGGACAAAACATTTCCAGTTCCCTCATTCCAAAAACAGTAATTAGATTACACACTGTGCTAAATCATATATTATTCCGTCAGTTTGGGCTTAGAGCGTTGCGCGAACCCAGCCGATGGTGGTTCATTTGATAAATCACAGTTGAGCAAATCCAGGCTTTTTGCTTCATCTAGCTCAGTGTTTCTCATCCTCAGCAACTTTAAGGTGTGTGGACTTCAGCTGGCTGGGGAATTCTGGGAGCTGAAGTCCACACATCTTCAAGTTGCTGAGGATGAGAAAGACTGGTCTAACTCAACAGTGGGGAAACTGGGTGCCCATAGCATGTTCTTTGAAGAGACAATTCCATCGTTCCTGGATGCCAGCCAGATGGTTGGAGCTGATGGGGGTGGGAACACCACATCTGGAAGGTCAAAGACTTCTCACTCCTATTGTCACCATTTTATCTTTTTCTCCTTTTTCTGGTGGAAATAAAGAAAAAGATGGAGGAAGTTGTGGGGAAACGTGGGAAGGAAAAATTTTAATGAAGAGCCGGAGACTTAAGTTCAAGGCTACCCCTCCTCCTGGTGGGCCAGGGGGACTATGGGCCAGTCACTGCCTGTGTTTGCACCAAACCATATATAGGAAGGGAGGAGGGAGGAAGGCTCTAAATGCAGTTTGTCTGTTTCATCATAGTTTGTTAACCATAGTTTCTGGTTTCTCATGTGGTGCAAACACAATCACTCTCTCTCAGGCCAATCTACCTCACAAGATTATAGTTATGGAATTTTCTGTCCTCAACCTTGAACTGCTGGAAGAGAGGGAGGGAGGACCTTTCTAGATTTCTGCAAATAGATCCTGGGAATGAAGCAGAATTACAGGATGATGGGTTTTCTGGCTTGTTCCTACTGTGACCGGTTAGTAGAGCAATCCCCCTTGGAAGTTGCTTCCAAACATTTTTTAAATGCTCTTTTTAACGTTTCTTCCCCACTTTGCTTTTGTTGTGCCAAACAAGGATCAGCCTGGATAAATACCTCTTCTGTCTTGAACTGTGCAGAAAAGGAAAAGGAAAGGTCTGCGCAATGAATATAGCACAGATACCCACACATCACCTGCCCTCTCCAACCTTGAACCCCTCCCCTCCCCGCCCACTTCCCACTCCCACATATTTCTTCTCCTTTTTCGCATCCGCCAGTCCCATCCAACCGACAAAGGAGCCTTTGAAACTCACTGCTTGCGAGGGGAAACCAAAGCTCCTGAGTTGAAAAATTCAAAATCCAGAGAGTAAGGAAGAGGAGGAGTTTGGAGCAATGGCTGGGAGGGTGGGGGATCACACACTGCTCATGCTCTCTTTCCATGCTTACACACACGCACATGCACGCACGCTCCAATGCCTCTCTAGGAAGCCAACACACTGCACTTTTAACCCTTTGGTTGACCAATGTTTAGCTTTGTCCAAAAAAGTGCCAAATTTCCCCTCCCTTACCCAAGATAAAATCCTTCCTATTACCCTCCAGATGCATTACATGTGGTTAACCCAACATGACACACTATAGCAGCGTTTCTCAACCTTGGGAACTTGAAGATGTGTGGACTTCAACTCCCAGAATTCTGGGAATTGAAGTCCATACATCTTCAAGTTCCCAAGGCTGAGAAACACTGCACTACAGACAAGAGTTGTAGAAGGCTAATCACTGGTTTGCTCCCAACATCATCTTAAAAAAAAAAAAACACCATTCCTTCATTCCTTCATTTCTATAAAATCCATTTGCCCAAATGGATAGAATGCCTCTGTCAACGCAAGGTTCGTTGAGTGATTTGAATTCTCTGCATTGAGTTTAAACAGCATGATCCACCCAGGGGAACAAGCTGGCCGGAAACCCCAAGTTTGTGGAAGGACCAATGATCTTTAGAAAAAGGATCAAGAAACTCCAAAACAGCTTGTCAAGGGGCCAAGCTGCTTCCTGGGCTGCAAAATATGACTCCTAAGAAACATTTCATAGGGAGAGAGCTATGATAGCCAAAAATCAGGAGTCTATTAGCACCTTTTCTGACTAACCAGTTTTATTAAAAGGCAGAAGCTTTTGTGACGGACAGGTAACATTTGGAAGCAGCTCGGGCAGACACCTCCCTTATTCACTGAACTGTAAGACTTGCAAGATTCTGTTCTTATAGCCAATCTCAATCAAAGTACTTTTAGCCTTCCTGTGATTTCTTGATTTGGCCTACCTAATGGGGTTGGCAGTTGGAAAGGGTGGTAGACAGGTAGAAAGGGTGGTTTTAGTTGTTCAGTTGATTGCTGTTTTTCTCCAGACTTTCCTTGTTGATTATATATCCTGTATTTTTTTGACTGCTGTGTCCTGTAAACCACCCATAGTCATACAAATTGGGGCAGTCTATACATTTAATAGAATAATAATAATAATGACTCGATAGGTGGATAAAAATGCCAAATCCAGTCTGAACATCTGGCTGACTGTGTGATCAACAATAATAATAAATGTATGTAGAGAAATGGATTGGGAATGCTTTTTTGCTCACAAAATGTATTTTAAATGTGGAAATTAATAGAGAGAGAGGTATGTTTGCATGTGAGTGTTATGAGACAAAAATGTAACAGCTAATTGTAGCTGGGCCTGTATCTGTCGAGCAGAGTGCAAATCACAAACACTCCTGTTTGTGCAGAGCGCAGCAAAAACTCCAGGAAAAGTTACCCAGGAAAGATACACATCAGCATTGCTTTTCACAATGCAATGTCCATTTCTTGTTTCCCAAAGTAACTATATCCAGTCAGAAAATATATACTAACTGGTGTTTATTGATAAAAAATGCAAAATTCCATAAAATGCAAATATCATACAAAATATAAAGAAAAACACATCTTCTCATGTAATATAGCATCCAAGACTTATTAGCAACACAAGCTTAACAAAATCTCTAGCTACAAATTCTCAGAGAAGAGGTACACTACTTGGTACTTTATTACAACTACATAGTCCATAAAAATGATTACATGGTGCTATACTGAGCTAAAGCTACAAACACACACACACACTGAGAGGCTGAACATTTTCCTCATTATATTATAGCTCCATGCCACTCCCACT